TGAAGGGACTTAAGTTTACAGAACTAGTGAGTAGCAGAGCAGACTATGCATCCAGTAGTCTTTCCACCATCACTGTGGCAATTACAGTTGTACCAGTTGCCAGAGCTCTCTTATTCTTAATCTCTGCCTTCTGATCAAAGCCCGACCCCTGGGCCTCATTCACAACAAAGTGTGAGTGGCTATACTTGTCAGGACTGTCTCTGTCTGCACTTTAATATCAAAGGAAACAATTTTCAACATAAGCAATCAGATCAGAGGGAAATGGGTTGGGCTAACAGGAAGTATTGGAGGAATACGTTCTTCCCCCTCTAATGACATCTAGAGGTTCTTCCAAATGTACCTAAATGTTAAACTCAGTGTCAAACCCCTACACAAGTTAAACATCAAGTTAAAGTTGCTTCAGACAAATTCCATTTCATTCCAAAAATGAAGTCCACACATATAAGAAAAGGTGGGAAGTTTAAAAAGAATCAGAGCAAGGAAATTATGAGGAGAGAATGTCAGGTGCCAAAAGAGGAAAATAATATAGATAACTAAAATTCTCAAGTTGTTAAGTGAAATAACATATATAATATTCTATCAGATAAGGAAAAGAAGGTTTTCTCTCCATAATGATTGAATAACAGTCACTTCTATGCTTTGCTCTTTCTTGTTCATCAGAATAAATTGCCCTGTACTGAACTCAGAAGGACCTCTGAGGCCCCTGTGGGGGAAATGTGATCATTATTGGAACTACTGATACTAGCGTGTGAGGTCTTGCCCCCCTTCTCTTTCGTGCATGGCTTTCCCACTTTCTGTCTGTCCTCCTGTTGTCTCTTGACCTGTTTCATGTTATCAATTTCTCAAGTGTCTTTTAATAAACATATAGGAAATTATCCACTTGATGTTTCCTTTTGTGAAACCTCAGGCCACCAAAAGAGATTAAAGTAACTGAGTCGAATAAACTTAGACTAAAACCTTCTTTGCAGCAATGCTGGGGTTTTGCTTTCTTTCTTGTTTAAAATCATGAACTAACAACATCTGTTTTGTAATTATAAAGGTGAAAAGGACCATGACACGTTATTTAGTTCCATACATGCATCGGGGAGGTGCGACATTAAAGCCACGAACCAAACACCAGTGCCTACCCCTATTCTTATTTATTTATTTATGTATGCATTTATTTTTAATATTCAGTGAAGATAACTTCATAGAATATTTGTTCTCTTTACAAAGGAAACAATAATAATGGTGATCATGGTTAAGATAGATGAGTGGGTATCTAATTATGAAATATGGGTTTTATTTCTCTTTAGATTTATATAGGTGTCCTGTTTCATGTGTTAACCACCTCTGTCCATAAATTATGGCTACATATTACTCCATTTGTTTCAGAACAAATAGATGTGGGGAATTGAGAGTAACCTTTCCTTAAAAATAATAGGTAGGAACTATACCAAGTACAGCTAGAACTGTTCAACATCCAAGATCATGCTCGGTAACTACATCGAGAGATAGTTCAAGATAATGGGTTAATGAGAATTCTCAAGAGAAAGGCTGCCTGTGTAGCCTCCCTCTAAGGAGATGAAATCTTTAAATGACCCAATTATCAGTATCAGGATAATAATATGGCCAAATGGAGTAAGGTAGGACACTAGGTGAGACGTCCTTCTACTGAACTGCATTGGCCTGGGGGGAGGAATAAGGATGTACTAGAGGATGGGGTGGGCGTGGGAGGGAGGAAACGAAGCAGGAATTCTATCTCTTTATTTTATATAAGCCACACTCCCTGTCATGCCCTTGAGTCTTGGCCAGACTCTCCAGCTTTCAACAGGAATAAAATAAAAGCAGGGCATGCTCTTCTACTTGTTACTGAAGATGACAGCTGCTTGCATGGGGAGCATTTGATAGACTTTGACTAGGAGCCAGCACTTCATAGAGGGGTATCCCTTGGTTTAAGATTGATGTCAGGTCTCCAATAAGAGTGCAACCTTATCATAAAGCATATCAAAATTATCATTCTCCCCTCTACTTGTAAGGAAAGAAGCTAAATATTGCAGCTTCTCTTGTTTTATGATTGGAGTATGCCATTCTAGAAAAGAGAGTACTTGGAAGTTACAGATGCTGAAATTTATAAAACCCTACTCAAATGATCTGGATATGTTTTTAAATATCCTTAAATTATAATATACTTGACATTTTCAAACACTAAGCAGACAACTAATGACCATGGTAGAAATTGAAGTTAATATTCCAACTCCAGAATTCCTCTGGTCTTTGCATTTCCAATTGCACATCTATTATTCATGAAATCCCAAGAGTTATCACAGAATAAAAATGAACTTCATAATTTAATCTTACATGGAAAATATATTAGTAATTTCATTAACATATTAAATACTGGCCTATCATGAATCTCTGAGCTCTGCTTGAGAGAATGTAAATTATAGAAGGAAAAACAAAGTTCCAAACGACTTTTAGATTAAGAAGTGGTTTGAAACACTTTTTTTCTGTTATCTTTTTCATCTTGAGCAAAAGAGAAACAAGTAAAATAAAGGAATCTTTTTAAAAAACTATTCTAGATTTGTATAGATGGTAAAACCCAGAATTTTTGCTTAAATTATTACTTTAAATTTGGTTATCTCTGAAGAAAGCTAAGTACAATTATTTCTGAGCCATCGTTTCTCTTCTGCACCAGCCATGCTTTCCCTCCCCTCACAGTGGTCCTTGACATTGACAACACAAAGGGTGACACTCTCATTGGCTAATAAAACAGTCCAAAAGCAGGAGAGGTTGTGCTCTTCGACAATGAATGGAAACACATTCCAGCAGTCTGCCAATTACTGTGGAGCAGAACAGAGTTTCAGTCTAGCTTGGAAGGTTGTCTCAATCTGATCTGTGAGAATGCGACTTTACTGTTCAGGTCCATGGGCTTACAGATTTTATTGGCATGTTCTCTTTGTCATCAAAGAGAAGCAATTAACAACATAGAACTTGAATCAACAGAGAGTACTTTTGGTCTCCTTTGCTTCACAATTCGTCTTTCATTACAGCTGATTCCCTGTTTGAAGCAAAGCTAATATAACTAACTTTCCTTCTTCAAAGAAGGGATTTATATCATTCTGCTTCCACAACTCCATAAATCATATATTATTTCTAAGCCACACATCTAGGTTTCCAGTCCATAGAGTGTACAAAGCCAATAGCCTCGCCGTTACCCTTTCCTATCCTCAAATCCACACTCTTGGCCTGTGATAAATACTCATTCTCACAGAGATATGCATGCTCACATATAATCATAAATGACAAACACAAATGTGGTAGATAACAAAAAAAATCAAACTGTAACAGTTGGAAATGCTCACTGTCTCTGACTGTATCTTAAATCTGGCCTGGATTCTTCTATGGCCTTCAGGCTAATAGCTCCTGCTTTAGATAATGCTAATTAACTGGAGAAATTCTGTCTGAGACTTGAGTTTTTTTGCAAGAACAGCCCCTTGTCAGAAGATGCCTTCCCAGAAGAGGTGGGGAAATATGTGCAAAGTAATGACCATGTGTCAGAGATTTACAGAAGCCTCTGGACTCAGATCAGCACAGGTCAAGTGACCAACCAGGAACAAAGGGATTCCACGACTTCTCACTCTTCCTTGACTCCCTGTCCGCGCCTAGCTCTCTGGGTTCCTCACCCACATTTGGACTGCCTCCTCCCTTCCCTTGATGTAAAAAAAAAAATGCCTGGATTCTGGGCTCTCTCGGAAGGATTTGTAGCTCTCTTAAAGCTACAAGGCACTCTCCATCTTCTTGAGCTGACACCTTCTTGAACAATAAACCTTTCCTTAGTCCAAACTGACATTTTGAATATTGGCCTTTGAAGTGAAGAGCACATGAACTTTGAACTATTAACAAAAGCATAACTTTCAACAATTCCATCATCTATTTTTGTTCATATTTCTATCAAAAGGATTGCTAGTTTATTTTAATAATGCCTCCTGTTAGCTCACTAAGTCTGGCTTGCTTATGCAGAAAGAGAATTTATTATGAATATTTGTAATAGTTCACATATCTTATGGAAACGCTGAACGATTTGCTCCCAGGGAGCTGCAGAAGTCACCAGGGCACCTTCTTTTGAGTGAATATATTCAAACCAATCTCATTTTTTTCTGTAGTTTACTCAAATTTCACATTATTGAACAAATCAGCTGGTTAATTGAACTAGAAGAAAATTCCCGTCTTCCTATTTTCAAAATAGAAAGAAGCCGTTCTGGGAAAAAAAGGAAGAAATTTGGCAGTACCAAAAGTTGGAATGGATGTGAGGCAGCTAAAAACAGGGAATGTCCACCCTATTCCAACCCTTTCTCTTTCCAGTAACGTCATATCTCCATTTATAGATCCAAATATCCCCATTCAACATTTTTTAACTACTGTATTTAAAACTAATAACTCCACATCTTCCTCAAAGAAAGCAAACTCAGAGTTTCTGGTCAAGTTGCCAAAAGTGGCTTGACTTACTCCTGACCAATCATGTGGAACACATTTTCCTGGCAACAGCAATTGGTTCAAGGAAAGGCAGAGGACCCAAGCGACCAATCATAGCTAGTGAGGCATTTCTCGTTGCCCCTGCTGAAGTTGAGTTTAGTTATATGTAGGCTTGAAATACTGTCAACAACTTACTTTTTCATTTAACGAATTTCAAAGTGTAATTTTCTTTCTTACAACAGAGTACTCACTGGCCATCTCTTGGCTTGGGGAACAGAGAATTCCACAAACAATAGGGAAATGATGCAGCTGGTATCAACATATGATGAAATAGATACTAGAAAATGAAAAATCACCCAAAGCCCATCGTATCCCCTAATCAAATATGTTTTAACAGCTTTATTCAGGTATAATTTACATATCATAATATTTATCAATTTTATGTTTAGAGTTCAATGAATTTTAATAAATGCATACAGTTGTATGGTCATCACAAGCCTAGTTTTACAAATTTCCACCATCCCCAAAGTTTCCCTTTTCCCATTTGCAGTCAATTCTGTCTCCAACCCCATCCTTACGCAACTGTTGATCTGTTTCTTATAAACTATAGCTTTGCCTTTTCTAGAAATTTCATATTAATGGAATCTTATATTTCGTAGCTCTTGTGTCTGGTTTCTTTCACTTCCCATAATGTTTTCAAGGTTCATCCGTGCTGCTGCATGTATCAGTAGTTCATTCCTTTTTATTGTTGAATAGTATTCACCAAAATGGAAATGTTTTGTTCATGCATTCACTGGCTGATGGACCTTTGGCATTTTTCCATGTTTTATTTGGCTATTATGAGACATACAGCTCAGAATATTTACAGACAAGGCTTTGTGGGCATATGTCTTCATTTCTCTTGAGTAACTTCTAGAAAAGTATACTTTCTTTTTTAATCTTCATCCAAGGATACATTTTTATTGATTTTGAGGATACGTTTTTATTGATTTTTAGAGAAAGAAAAAAGAGAGAGAGGAACATCAGTGTGAGAGAGAAGGACCGATTGGTTGGGTCCCATACACGCTCTGACCCAGGATCAAACCCGCAGCCTAGGTATGTGCCCTGACTGGGGATCAAATCCAGAAACTTTTTGGTGTACAGAATGACACTCCAACCAACTGGGTCACCCAGCCAGGGGTAGGAAAGTATACTTTTAACTTGTTAAGAAATTGCCAATTGTTTTCCAAAATAGCTATATCAGCACTGTTTGAAAGTTCAAGTTCTTCCATGTCCTTGACAATATTTGGTACTGCTTCTTTTTAATTATTGTCATTCCAATTGGTACATAATGCTATCTTATTGTGTTAAAATGTGCCATTTCCCAGTGACTATATTAACCATTTGTATAGTTTCTTTGGTGAAGTGTCTACTCAAATCTTACACCCATTTTTGAATTGGGTCATTTGTTTTTTTATTCGTATATTACAGTTCTAGCTATTTTCTGAATGCAAGTTTTTTATCACGTATATTATTTGCAAATATTGTGTTTTCTGCCAATCTATCACTTATATTTTTATTTTCATAATGAAGTATTTTGAATGGTAAAAAGACCATAATTTTGTCAAATTTTATCTTTTTCCCCTTTAATAGTTAGGGCTTTTGATATCATATGTAATAAATCTTTTGACTAAACCAAAGTTATAAAGACTTTCTCCTATGCTTTTTCTAGAAGTTTACAGTTTGAGCCTTCACATTTAAGTCTGTGATCACTTTGGTGTTAATTTGTTTTTTTCTTCAATTTTTTATTTATTTCTTTTTAGAGAGAGGGGAAGAGAAGGAGAAAGAGTGGGAGAGAAACATCAATGTGTGGTTACCTCTCATGTGTCCCCTACTGGGGACCTTGCCTGCAACCCAGGTGTGTGCTCTGACTGGGAATCGAACGGGCAACCCTTTGCTTCACAGGCCCGTGCTCAATCCACTGAGCTACACCAGCCAGGGCCAATTTGTTTTTAATGATGAGAGATAAAGGTCTAAGTTATTTTGTTTCACATAGATATTCAATTGTTCTAGTGCCATTTGTTTAAAAGAGTATGCCTTCTCTTGAATTACATTGGTAACTTGATTGAAAATCAAGTGACCAGAAATACATATATGGGTTTATTTCTAGATTCCATTCTATCTCATTGTCAATGTTTGTTATGTCTTGATTACTCAAGCTTTTGATTAGTTTTTAAATTTATCAGTGTAAAATTACCAGACTTGTTCTTCTCTTTCAAAAGTGTTTTAGATATTCTAAATCCCTTGTACTTTTATGTAAGTGTTTGGAAGAGTTTATTCATTTCTACCAAAAACTGCTTGGAATTTGGTAGAAATTGTGTTGTGTCTACAGAGCAATTTCAGAAAAAAACTGTTATTTTAACAGTAGTGAAGCATTCCATTCATGAACATAGTAAAACCCTCTATTTATTTAGGTGTCACACAAGAGTCACAAAAGCTGTGACTGTGCACTCAAATATGGATGAATGTGCCCTATGCTTCAGTAAACACAACTACTATTCGTCTCACCTCTTAAAAGCTAGAGATCTAAGCGAATGAAAGATGCCTGAACTTCGGTTTCTGTGTGGATATGGTATGTGTGCTGTGAAGAGAGAATTTTTGTTGAGTGTATTCTGCTTCCGAGACCTCTGAATGTCTTTTTAAATAAATTGTTTTGCATAGGGGTAATAGGAACTTTGAAGAAGAGTTTTTCTTCAAGAAGAACCAAGAAACAAGGATGGATGGAGTGAAGAAGACATTATTTTATTTATTGCTCAGCGCAGTTCCTCAACCTGAGCTATATTTGAGGGTCCGTAAAGGCAGAAGCCTACAAAGGGAACTACACTGGTTCTCCAGACACCTTTGGCTCCTTGAGGAGTCCCCCTAGCATAGAGGAAATGGCCCATATGTTTGTTTTTAAGAGACGATTCCCCACCTAAGTACAATATTATCCCATAGGGGGAACCTTAACAGAAACAAAAAAGTTAGCCTCTACATAGTAATTGAACTCTCTCTCTCTCTCCCTCTCTCTCTCTCTCTCACACACACACACACACACACACACACACACACTAGTGTGCACGCAAGTCCTATATTTTGCTTGCCATAGTTATATTGAGGACAGCATAGAATAACACATGACTGAGAGCAAAAATGCTGGTTTTGGCCCTGCCTTGTTATTCCCAGTAAGTTGATCAAATCTCTGGGCCTCAGCTTCCTACTCTCTTAAAAGAGAAAATTGGACCACATAATATTTTAAAGCCATCGCAGCTCTAACCATCTCGAATGCAAAGAGCTACCCAGCTCTCACTTTGCCAAGAGAATTATACCTCTTAAAAGAATTCTGCTTGTAATTTAAAAAGAGAAAATAGTCCAAAGCATATTTTATTCTCTGGATGTTCTAAATTAGTGCTTAAGAAAGTCCTCCTTTTTTTTTTTCAGTGCTTCTTGCCCTTCGGGCAGAGAAAACTCTTTATCCTCATCTATTGGCTGACCCTTTTCAAGAAACAATGCATCCTTAACTGCTAACTTCACCAGCACCATCCCCCCCCTTTTCCTATTGTAAAAGCTGTCTAAAATCTTGTTTGCAGAGTAATGAAGAAAACATTGCCATTTGCAAGACTGCTCGTTACCTCTGAATATACTCCATCAACATACTGCCGCTTCATCTTATTTAGAACCACCAACTGCTTTGTGTAAGGGCACTGATGTCCACATCTGTCTCCTTAGACAGGCAGAGAAGTGAATCTCTTCTCCTGTTTCCAAAAAAGGGCTGATGAGCTTCAGTAGTGTTTCTCTTCACTGAAGGGTGGTAACCTTGAAAATGAAAGTTAAAAGAGACAGATCCAATTAGGTACGGGGTCTTCTCCATTCTATATAACAATTGGTTTTCTTTCATCATTTAACACGTGGAAGTTTTCTATTGTCTACACTGTTGTTTCTAAAGCCAAATTTAAAGTTACATTCTATTTACAAAATGTAAGGGCATCATACTGGGACTCTTCTGAAAAAATATAATTCTGCGGTTAAGCCTAAAATGAGTTTGAAACACAATTCCTATATTTTCCATACTATCTTCCTACATTATCCATGCCATTTTTTCTTCTTTTGCATTTTTGGATCCCATGTTATCAGTTTTACAGAGCCTTAAGGTTCCCTAAAATAATTTTCCCTGATTATGAGTGAATATTTAGAATTCTAATTACTCAAGTAAAATCATAGGTGAATTCAATAGTTGTATTAATAGCCTGTTGCTATAGATTGAAAATGTTTGTGTCCCCTCAGAGCTGAAATCCTAATCTTCAATGTCGTAGTATCAGGAGGTGGGGGTTTGGGGGAAGTGATTAGACCATGAGGACTTTGCCCCCCTGGAGGGGATCAGTGCCCTTTCAGAGGCCCCCCCGAGAGCTCCCCGCCCCCTCTGCCATGCGAGGACACAGTGAGAAGATAGCCATCTGTGAACCAGGAAGCAGGTCCTGGTCAGACAACAAATATGACAGTGACTTGATCTCAGACTCCTCGGCCTCCAGAACTGTGAGAAATAAATATGTCTTTTATAAGCCACCAAGTGTATGGTGTTCTGTTACAGCAGCCTGAATAGACTAAGACGTGTGTATAGTAAGGTCCCCTGGTGACTCAGAGTGCCTTGAGAAAGAGCTCACCCAAACAGAACAAGAAGCCAGGCACAGAGCCTGGGTCATCGGGGGAGAGCAGCACTGCTGAGTCCAGTGCTGTGTCTGTTGCTCGGCTTGCCTCAGGGCTAGCTCCCCAAGGTGCAGAAGGAGGAAGAGTCCACAAACAGAAATAAAGGTTAACTCAAATGGAAGAAAGACATTCTTTCCCTGTGTGCAGCAGAGCAAGGCACAGCCGTGGCTTCTATCTGATTGCTCAGAGAGGCAGCAGCCAGCAGGCATAAACTGAGGCCCGGCACATACAAATCCTCCGGGGAGACTCATGGGCACCCTGAAGGTTGTCCGTGACACCCTAGAGAGGACATCCTCTGTGGCAGCCCTGCTACTCTCCCCACTCTCAGCTACGGCTACCTGCCATTCTTGCATGTCTCTCTCCATGGGTGAGCTTGGTCAATCCAGGATCGGTGGCAGGCAGGAATGAATCATCAAATCCTGTGGGGTACGTGCCAGAAGGGGCCTTGGAGACCAGGTCTCCACTGGCTTCTCCCATTTCTCTGCAGCTAGCTGGCACTGACAGGGCTCTGAGCACCAGCAGGGTTTGTGAGTCAGCACCCGCCCACAGCTGAATGTTGGTGCTTGTTCTCAGTGGGAGCCAAGTGCGAATGAAATATCTTTGTGGGCTTAATCTGGCCTGCAGGCTGTATTTAACCACCCCTGCTCCAGCCCTAAATTACTTCATACTGATACAGGAATGTCTAAACAGTACACTATCTGGTTTTGGCTCAGAACTTTATATTATGCTTCAAGTGTACTATCTTAATAAAATACGTACCATGTTTATCCTTCTTCATACCATTTATACAGAGCTAATGATCTTGTACATGGAGGTCCTTCTTTGGCATAAACTGTTTTTAATCTTTCTATCTCACAAAATAATTTTGAGTTACCCAAAAGGTCGGTTTACTTTTTTCTGTAAAATAAAAGACACGTGTTTCATTTTTACCAACAACTTTATTGATTTGGATATGTTTTTGGTATGTCAGCTATCTCCCACATGGTATATAACATTGATTGTTCTCCATTAATGTCTCGATTTGATCATTATCAACTTTGACCAGTCTACCGGACCATGGAGCATTGTCCAAATGCTCCGGCACAAAAGTTCTCAAACCACTTTTGACGTGTTTGATCAGTCACTGTACCTTCTCCATACATTGCACAAATCATTTTTTGCATTTCAGTTGCATTTTGCATTTTTTGCATTTTTACCTCTCTTAAAATAATAAAGCATAGTATGCCAAAAATGTTGTGTATTTTCTTCCACCTTCAGTGTTAAAGTGACTGCACAAAATTCACCAATTTTTATAAGTTTTTTAAATGCATGCTGACATGACAGCTGTCACAACACAATCTAACAAAATTGTTTTGAATGAAGTGAAAGACAACTAAGCACTATGAGAGCCATCTTGCAGAAAAAAAACAAAAGAACTTGTTGGCCAACCCAATATTAAATCTAAATAGATATTCTAGGCAGTTGCTTTGAACAATGTAAATTATAACTTTCCCTAAAATAGCACAATCTAAAATATAAAGATATGAGATTTCATAACAAGGTTTTACGATTCTTAGAACTATAGCACAGGGCTGGACATAGAGTAACACCTTAATAAGTAACTTTTGAGTTTAATTTTGATGAATTAAATGGACTGAAATGCCTGTTTTCCTGTTTGTAGGTTTGTTTGTTAATAGCAAGGCAATGTCATATACTCAAAGAGAAAGAGCTTGGAAGAAGATCCTTTGAAGAAGGCAGATTCAAATTTTACCTCCCTTGCACAGTGTATAACCTTGCAGGGGAGATCAGAAAAGAGAGGTAATAAACTGTATCTCTTTGGGATATTGTAGTGATAAATCAAGTAAGTATGTAAATTATCTAATATGTTTGGTTCAATGGAAGTTAACTATCTTTTCTTAAGTCATAAAGAAGAGCTTTATGGCTATATGGAATGAGGATGAAAAAAGGTCAGCATCTGTCACTTCTGTAAGGTTTTATCTAAGAGCAGACTACAGCCACTTTCAGAGGTCTCTGTAAGAGGTCTCTTCAGTTTGCAAACAGTGTCAGTTGTAGGGTAAAAAATGGAAGCTCTTGATGGTATCTAAGCCTTGGCTTCTATAGTCAAGTCACAGAAATATCAGTGTGCCACTTCACTACCAAAGAAAAGTTGTAAGCAGTCCCTTGTTTAAATGTGGCAGATACCATTTGGCCGGGAACATCTGGGATGAAGGCAATAGTGAGACAAGCCTCATATTCTGGGGTCAGGTTTGGTCCATAGAAGCAGTCAAGTACCACAAGGTACTTAAGTTCACTTAACTTCAGTTTCTTTACGTACAAAATGAAAACAATTCCTCTTCTTCTTACACTATTGTTATTGTTATCATCATCTGCTCTGCCCTAAACTGCTTGGGCTTAATATGGGTCTCCTCAGCTCCGTGTTGGGCGACTTGTATCGCCTCATATAATCCTTACATCAACCTAAAGCAGTAACTGTGATCCGAGTTTTACAGAGGAGAAAACTAAAACCCTGAGAAGTTAATTATCTTACACACCAAGGGTATTGGCAGAGCAGGAACCCAACTTCGAAGCCCTCAGTCTCAGCTGTTCTAAGTTGCCTCCTGGAGAAGGTGGGCTTTGGGTGCCCAGCACTCATTCAACGGGTCTATGTTCTTAAGGACCATGTGCAGAGTCAAATAGCCATTTGCATCCACCCCGGAAGAGTTCACTGAACCCTGGGCCTCCAGCAAGTGGGGTAATTTTCTGACAGGATGCGCGACCACAAGAGACACAGCCACAAACCGAATCACCCACATTCAGGCGGGGCTGGTGATAGTCAATCTGTCTTGCCAGAAAGTATAACTTCTTTGCTCTGTAAGCACCCTTCCCTCTGTTTCCATTAACGTGCTGTTAAAAGAAAAAGACTTATTTACTTTACTTCCTTTAGTCAGGGAAAATCACATTTTACTTGGTTTCAAATAGCCAAACGTAATGCTAAAAATAAAGCCTGCAAAAAATAAAGCCTTTCTTAAATTACATAAATGATACATTGGGGGGGGGCTTTCTTATGAATATGCATAGTACATTGCTTTCACAGTGAGAGCCTAGAATTTTAAAAACTCCAAAGTAGTTGCCTGATGCCATTTTACCTAAAAGAACTAGACTGAAAATTAGGTCTCCTCACTCCCAGTCCTGTGCTTGCTCTTTCTGCTGTAAGAATGCCCTTCTTTTACTCTGCTAGTTTTAATTCCCTGCCTGAAGGAGAAAAATCTTGTACTGCTTTCTTCCTCTCTGCCAAATTTCTATTGATTGGTTGGTGATGAGCTAGTAAAAGCTTGATGAGAATGCCATCTAGGCCTTCAGTGTCAAGATCAAGGGAAGCTTATAAAGAGATGCCTTTCATCTTTTCCTAAAGTCAGTGCCTTAGTTAATTACTCCTTGTCCAGAGGCGGTGAGTCCCCCAGATGAGGTGCCCTGACTCAGGGAACTCTGGCCCTAGCTCTGGCAGCTCATTAAGGCTACGGTCTACCACAAAGTGACTTTTGAGCACACTAAGTAGGAAAAAATCAAATGGTTTCTGCAGTGACAGGGTCAGCTGGATCAGAGCCTGAGCCTTGAAATAAATCAGATATTGAAGGAGTAAACAACAAAAGGAGCTGAAGACAGATGGAATACAGACACGGTGCTTTTATCTGTCAGCCAGCAAGCTGCCAACTTTCTCTTTTGCAAACAGAGAGTGTGTTTCTGAGCTGCCATCTTATCACATTACAGGTTAGTTGCCCACACCCCTTGCTGGTTTGGGAACTCATGGTGAACAAGGACTTTGTCGTGCATATTTTTATTCCATACTTTGCAATGCATTACCTTTTATATAGCGGATGTTTGATGTATGAAAAAAATAAAGAACAAAAACTCTATGCCCTACATCCTAAAAAAAGTTGTAATGAAACCTTTTGCTTTTCTCCCAAACTATTTAAAACCATGATAGAAAAAAATTAACTTTTTTTAATAAAAGAAATGGTAAGGATGGGGAATAATAGAGGTAAATAAGGGGCTACCTTGGACCAAACACTGAAGCATGTCATTTGCGTAGCACATTATCTCATCTAAACTTTACACTAATGCCATGAATCAAGTAGTCAACTTCTGGGGTTTTTTTTTAATAGATAAAGAAATCAGGGCTCAGAAAGACCAAATAACTTGTTCAAAGTCGTGCCACTGAAGTGACAGAGCTGAAATTCAGACCGCAGGCAAAAATATTGTCTAGACATAATTAACAGCATCCTAGCAACAAGCATTTCTATCATTCCAGCATGACCAACACTATTACTTCTTCTTCTCCCATTGGCATACGTTTTTTTAAGCCACTAATTTGGAAAAGATGAAGTAACAGGGGATAGATTCACCCTCTTGGCTGTAACAACCACACACACAAAAAAACACAAGAAAAAAATAAGTATATTCAACACAATAAGTATATTTCCAGACATTGAGCATCAGGCGATGAAGGACAGTGATTCCTGAGAAACGGGAAACAAATCATGTGAGCCCTGTGAGTCTTGACTTACTGCCTTGAGAGAATTTCCAAGTCATGGCATAAGGAAGGGGTTTCCAGGCACAGCCCAGTGAATGGCCCACGTTGAGGAGATAGAGCTGAGTCCAGGGAGACTCACGCCAGGGAAGGTTTGCAAGGCAGAGTATCAGAAAGGAGAGAGCTGCACAAAGAACTCCAGAGATTTGCAGAGGGCCCCCTATAGTATTTAGCCGAGTATTCATCAGTACGGGCATGTGAGAAAATTACTCTTGGCTGGAAAAGAATCTCTAGAGGTTTAAAGAAGAATGTCCGACACTCACACTCAACAGCAGAACTAGCCTGTTGGCCCTTGAAAAACATGGGGGGATAGGGCACTGACCCCTTGTGTAGTCAAAAATCCACATATAATTTATGCCTCCCCCAAAACTTAACTACCATCTTCCCTTCGTATCTGCAAGGAATTGGTTCCAGGACACCCTGCAGATACACAAATCTGCAATGTCCAAGTCCTTTACATAGAATGGCGTAGAAAAACACATACTGTCAGCCTTCTGTATCTGCAGATTCCCAGCCATGAATCAAAAATGCTGTTTTTGATCTTTGGTTGGTTGAATCCATGAATGGAAACCCCACAGATACAGAGGGGCAACTACACATTTATTTTTTAAAAATTATATATAAGTGGATCCATTCAGTTCAAACTCATGCTGTTTAAGGGTCAACTATACTTCCAACCAGACTGGATAAACCTCACAATTTGTGGAGTTTTGGGTAGATTACCCATTGGGTAGTCTCACCTCAGTAGGGAATAATTAGACCTCCCCACTAGACTAAACACTACCAGTCCACCAAACAAATCTTAAAAACAAGACTCAAAAGGATCAAATTGTTTTTAAGTAACTTAACTGTAAACCAGAACAAAGTTCAAGAATAATTATAGAAATAT